TTATTAATAATGAAGTACCCATGTACAACAAAATCCCCCATATTCCATATTACAGACCCTTAATAATATCTCGGAACATCTGGATTCTAGAGAAGTTGAAACAGTTGGTTCTGGGAGTTGAAGCAGCACTACTTAGATTATCTCAGTAGGAAGTTAAGGGAAAGTGAATTACAATTAATCTTAACAATGGAGCTGATTAGTTGACTGTCCTAATATAATGTTTGGTTATGTACAGAATTCGAAGCTTAGAATTCCAAATCCAGCTAAATGTATTTTTGTAAATCTTTCATAGTGCCGCTAAAAATCGTGGTTTGATATTACTAAGTTGAGCACAAATTGTCAAATTGACAACTAAATACTCGATCATAAATAAATATTCATAATTAATTTTTCAGTCATTTGTTCCTAAAAATATGAAAATATGGAAATAGTAATTTTGCTTCCTCGCAACCAAAGGTAGGAAAGCATTATATCGTGCGGGAGATTAAAAAATCACACTCAGAAACGAAATTGTCCACTTTAAATTTTAGACATGAAGAAACGAATTTGGTTTCGTGTCTCCTCATAGTATATTGAGTAGATAATATAATAATAATAATTGAAAAAACATCATTTTAATTCCTTGCTAATGACGATAGGGAATCTTTGTAGTTGTATGGCAGTTTAAAAAAAAAAAGTGTTCTTAAAATCAATAAATAAATTTGGTTCCGTGTCTGCCTAGAGTGAAATCCATGTAACCTATTTTGATCAAACGAAAATCAAGGATTGCACGGATTGGTACTTATAGTCCGTGTTACAGACCCCTTTTTATCAAAATTATTAACATCCGCCTGAAACTTCGTAAATAGCTTCATATCATCGTAACCTACAAATATTATATTTACGAAAAGTCATGGAATTGGGACGTTTTCAATCTGGAGGTCGGCAAACTTTGTCTATTAGATAGTAAAACTCGAATTTGATCACAAAATCGATAAAAAAAATGGTATACAGAAATATTGGACCGTTTATCCTATATAAACTCGTTATTTTGACAATTTGGAGGTGTAGGTGACAGTTTGGCGTAAACGGCTCAATATTTTTGAAAGCCACATTTTGTCTCGATTTTGAGCTCAAATTATCTCACGATTCAAGTGAAAAGCAAATGGGTATTTACATGTTTTTAGTACATAATTAAATAGACAAAGTTTGCGAATCTCCAGATTGAAAATACCCCAATTCCGTGAATTTGCGTTAATAAAACATTTTTAGGTTTCGATGAAATGAAGTTATTTACGAAGTTTCAGGAGGATCTTAATAATTTGATAAAAAATATGTCTGTATTAGACCTCGGACTATTAGATGATCTCATAAAAATTACCTCAAATTCTATTTCATCCAATATTTCCATTTCAGAATGCGCAAACTTATAATGGAACGTCTGTACTTCAAAATGACTTGTTCGATTGGATCCCAGGTTGGAGGGAAGTTAGGAATTAATGGTTGTTAGGGAATTATTTTCGCTTATCTGTTGTGCTAACGTATTTTTCCCTCTACAACTATATTTCAAAAAAGGGTCATTGGATTAGGCTCAGCAGTACACGAAATTTGAGGAATAATTTACGAATAGTCTGTTTTTAATTTCATTATAAAATTGTTTCATTATAAAAGTTAAATGAGGTCGACAGTGAACATATGACCATAGGAGGTTAGATTACTTTAAAAACTTTCTTAATCTCTTCTGGTGAACATATCTACTGTGGTCAGTTCACAGAATGAGCATTTAATCCAATTTGCAATGAATATTCTTTTAACGGTTGCGGGCAATCAATTTTGTTTATTCAATTCAACGATAAACTAAAATTTGAAAATCAAGAAAACTGTATTTAATAGTATTAAATTTTGGGAGATACTTAGTTTTTTCACATCAAACGCATTCAATTCTTCCAGTCTGAAGTCCTTTGAATAATAGTTGCCGCTTCCTTCTATGTAACAAAACCCTGAAAAATGACCTCAATATCCCTTCGTGTTTTAAAATCAATAGAGGTTGAGCGAAGAGGTAATTTTTCAGGGTTTTATTGGTTACATACTGTAAAAAGCCCACAGTAGAGATGTCCACCAGAAAAGGTTAAGAAAGCAAAATATTATAACTATTGAGAATTCTTTCGAGGAAATCGTGTCTTTTGATTCGTATTTTTAGTCTCACCTATTAAGATTGACAGTAATCGTTCAAATTTACATAATCAATTTTATGCCTGAAGACTTCAAAGTAGCATGGATTGAATAAATGACTGAACAATAGATGAAATTATCTCAACACTAAAACAGTGGGGCAATGCCTAAGGTAGCTACTGCCATATTTATAACAATATTCTGTGTTTTACAAATATATTATTATCACTTAATTAAACATTGTAATATATTGTAGTAGTTTTACTTATTTGAATAAATTAGAAAATTAAACAGCACAAACAGTTTTCTTTATTATATGTAATCTAAATATTTTGTGTATTTTCAAGGCCGTTTAACAATGATTCAGAAAATAGTGTTAGGCTGTTTTTTTCTCTTAAATATTTGCTTGCCGTTCTATGTAGATCAAATGATACAAATAGTTATATTCTGCCCAAACCTTCACGAGCTTACACATCTTCACTTAATAATTAAAGAAAATCCGTATTATGACAGAAGTGTAAAAAGCGAATGACAATCTTTCAGAGTTGTACATTTTAGGTCAGAAATTAAAAATTAAAAATACTAGCAAATACTCGTACATCAATAGCTTTGGGGAATGAGGAAAAAATCGCGAAGAAAGTTATATCTCCGAAGAAGTAATTTATAAAAATATCCGTAAGTTTATCTCTATCTCTTTTTTTTTAATCTATTTTTTCTATGTGTTTTGTTTATCTTATTTTATTTTTATTATGCAAAAACCAATAAACATAATTAACGGTATTGATAACTAACAGGTTTTACGCCTTAATACCACAACAATTAACCAAAAACCAATGGACGGGTTTTTATTTTGTTCTTGATTGATTTTCGTATTGAAAAATATTGATTTTCGATAGGCAAATTTCAATGTTGATAAATAAATATTTCGATGTATAAAAATATCTATAATGGATATACTTATAATTTATATAGAAAATTGAGAACAGACCCATTGCCAGAAATAAATAAGAATATGACATTGATAAAGATGAGGAAACACTAAGTAAAAATGGATACATAGATGAAAAATTAGTTAACAAATTAATGAATAAATATTTCAACCATCCTAGAATGTTTGGACTCATAGATCTGCTTAATTTCAAATTTCAAATCAGACACAAGGCAAATTGTTCTACACTATGCGGAAATAATAAATAATTAATTTATAAGTATATTAAATTTCAAAAAAGATTTTTTAAAATAATTTTTGTTAAATTATGAATATAAAATTGGTTTATTGAATTGTAGATATGATTTCTAAAGACAAAAATACAGATAGAAATTATAGTCGTTTTTAAAAAATATGTACAATGAATAATAGGGTTGTGAATTAATTGTATTTATTTTTAATATTATATTGTTAACTAGTTTAATAATTGCGTAAAGATAGTATAATAACGGAATTTTTAATTGTTAAGAATGTTATTTAGAAGTATGAAGACATTCAAAATGAAAATAAACAACCTGACAGAGGGAGGTTTAGTATTTGACTGATTAAGTTAGGATGAAATGGAAGATTCAGTCCGTTTTAAATATTTTTTAAACATAATTAACGGTCTTGATAACTAGCAGGTTTTACACCTTAACATCAACCAAACCAGTGGAACGGTTTTTATTTTGTTTGTTAATTATTTTTTGTTTTGAAAAATATTGTTTTTCGATAGGCAAATTTCAATGTTGATAAATCAATATTTCGAATAAAAATAAACATAACCTTACAGAGGGAGGTTTAGTATTTGACTGAATAAGTTAGGATGACGATGACAATTCAGTCCAATTGGTTTAAATATTTTTTACATAATTAACGGTATTGATAACTAACAGGTTTTACACCTTAAGATCATAATAACCAACCAACCTGTGGAACGGTTTTTATTTTGTTTGTTAATTATTTTTTGTTTTGAAAAATATTGTTTTTCGATAGGCAAATTTCAATGTTGATTAATCAATATTTCGAATAAAAATAAACATAACCTTACAGAGGGAGGTTTAGTATTTGACTGATTAAGTTAGGATGACAAGGACAATTCAGTCAATGATTTAAATAATTTTTTACATAATTAACGGTATTGATAACTAACAGGTTTTACAACTTAAGATCACAACAATCAACCAAACCAGTGGAATGGTTTTTATTTTGTTTGTTAATTAATTTTTGTTTTGAAAAATATTGGTTTTCGATAGGCAAATTTCAATGTTGATAAATCAATATTGTGTAAATAATTTTTTACATAATTAACGGTATTGATAACTAACAGGTTTTACAACTTAAGATCACAACAATCAACCAAACCAGTGGAATGGTTTTTATTTTGTTTGTTAATTAATTTTTGTTTTGAAAAATATTGGTTTTCGATAGGCAAATTTCAATGTTGATAAATCAATATTTCGTAGTATAAAATATTTATATTTCGATTTAAATGTTTTTTTTATTTATAACATCCCTAACATGGAAAAAGGTTTATAATATGGCACGAATTCATATTGGCTAAAATCACGTATGTCATCTTATGCTTTCAAATCTATGCTGTTCTAAAATTTCGTCAAGTACGTTGTGTAAAAGAGGAATTGGTAAACGATGGTGTCTATGAGCCATAATTGAGTTGAATAACCGTCTTCCGTCACATCAATAGTAAACAGTGAGATGCTGGCCAAGAAACACCGACTGCGATGGACAAGATGCTTGGGCCTTGGTTAATTACCACTGGGATTTCCCTCGGAGCGGTGGCCGCGGGCTTACCCAGTGAAAGGCCCCCTGACAGGAGGGGGGCTCACTGGTCTCTCCAGTATTCGCTCTACCGTCCCAACGTCTGGACCATACACATCTCCCTCCAGCCGATCTAAACGATACAGGTGAGTGTGTTCTATATCATCATTGAGATCTTCCTCTGTTTTTATATAATTCATGTAATCTTGAGAGTCTTAAGGCGATTAGATAGGAGCATTGTACACCTCGTGATCCACGGTTATCTGTTCGTAAAGTTGATATGCTCTTTTGAAATTAATATTAATTATTCTATAAAAAATATAGGTTTTCAGTGCCTTACCGTTTGGTCTACTGATAACAACTAGGGATTTCAGGTATGAAACTCGTGTTTTTTTGTTTCTTGTCGAAAAATAATTCATTAATCAGATAACACGATAGTTCACTGGATTAAGTCTGATAAAAATGATTAAATTATCAACATTTCTCACTGACTTACAAAATGTTCGGTGTCATTTCTTCAATTAATTATTTACTATAAATTTTAAAACAAATATTTATAACTAAGAGTCGAATTTTTATGGAAATGCAATTTTTTTAAAACAAATATAAGGCGATATCTTCATATTTTTACATTAAATTAAATTCTTATTAAATTATAAAACTAAATTTGTATTCATATTTACTTACTTTACTTTATTTAATTTATTTCAGGCCTAGAAAATTGTTTAATTATTTAAATCATATGTTGTTTTATTTGTTAATATTCAAGTTATTAATTATGTTTCTAGTTTTTACCGTCTATGCTTGAAATTAAAATTTTATATTTACCATTTTCATTTTTTTTTTTTTGGATGTAAACTTAATAAAGAAGTACTTAAAAAAATCGTAGATTAGTGAACAGGGACATTTTCTATAGTTTGACTCATTAACTACTACTTTAGATCTTTCTTTTTGCTGGGAGGTTGTATTTTATTCTTTGTTTTTGGCAATAATAACTTCTAATTATATAAATTTGATTTATTTGTTGTATTTCCAAGTTAGGTGTTTACATGTTAACGTTTCGGAATATTTACTCCCATCTTCAGAACTACAATCCCAATGTTTCTTTCTTGATTCATGGCTAAAACTTGAGTTAAATATAATGTATGTTACAATACATGTCAGAATTGAGTTGTTACATTAAATTTCTAATTACCGTAAGTCTGATGTGCTCCATTGATAAGTTCTATATTCACGTTATAACAAATTAAAGTATATAATATCCAGAGCATCATCATGCCTTTAGACCAATTATATAACTAAACAAAGATATATATATAAAACTTAATTATATTGCCAAAAACAAAGAAAGAGCCACTTTAGACTTTTTGTAAACGAAAGTGTTACCTTTTTCTAAAACTAGATGATTAAATCCCGGGGAATTAATCTCCATCAGGAGTGAATTAATGTTTAAATAACATATAAAATACATTAAAAAGGGTAGTTTTTTATTAAAGCTACAACGTTCTTAAATAAAAATATATTTAATGTAACTAAAATTACTATTAAATTTAAAAAAAAATCTTTAAATAATACAACTAGAACCTTTGTGTGTGTTCCCTTAGTAAAGAAAATAACTTTTAAAATAAAGTAGAAATCGCAAATTAAAAAAATAAATAAACAACAAACAAATTTATTTTTTTTAATGAATTCATGTTTCAATTTTATCCTTTATTTCTTGCTTAAAAATATTTATTCTTGGTTTAACCACCGTTACAGTTGGATTTTACATGCCTTTTTTGTACACTAACAAAGTTTCTTAAATTAATTCCGCGATAACGATCATTTTAGTTCTTTCTCCCAATGGTTATATTGGTTTTTTTTAGCTTTAAACTGTTATGCGTGTGTGAGAAAACAATATTCTCCTAAGTCGACTAGAATATGAAAAATTTGTCCCTGCGATTTACTTAACGATAGCTATATGTGGCCTGTGTGTAATAGCAACATGTTATTACCTTAAGCATCATGTAAACCTTTTCTCGATAAACGGTCGATCTAACATAATAATTTTTCGATTCGGAATAGTATTTCTATAAATTAGAAATCAGTCATTACTGTTATTGAATACATTTTTTTTATTGAAATTATCAACAGAATAGCATATTATTATTATAATTAAGCTAATTTATCAACACCAGTTAATACATTATTATATCTTATCTCAATTGTGTTAAAACATTTATTTACATTTTTATTAAAATGTTTACATTAAATAATGAATATTTGATGGTTGACCATTGTATATTATTGAGTAAGAATGATCCAGGATGGCGGTCATAAAAAGACTAAAATAGTGAAAAAACTATTTTTATTTTAAGCCCCTTTTATTATAATAATAATACAAATAGTTTTTTAACTACTTTAGACTTTTTATGATAGCTACCCCGGACGATCACCTTACTCGTTTATATTAATTAAATGTTAATTATATAAATATACGCTGATAATCAATGTCGTAAATATCATTGGAAATAGAAATTTGACTGTAAAAAAAAAATGTTTTTAGAAATTTATGTTATAAGCTGTTCCTAAAACATAAATCCTTATTACAACATAATAACTATATAATACAGTTATATTAATATATTATAATATAATAAATATATTATAGTCACTACTTTTTAATTAATATTTGATGTTTAATAAAAATAGAAATATATATTGTAACTCTCTCCAGAAAAGACTTAATGATAATTTAATGAACAGGGATAAGTATGGGAGAGCTTCACTTAGTTATTTTATGATCGTTGATGCATCACAAAATAAATATTTCTTTACCATTTTCTTATGGAAGATAGTTAATAATATTTATATTACATAAACATGATTATGATCACCAACAAAAAAAAAATATGATTAGCAACTAACCGTTAAATACTTCTGCGTTCTTTAACGTCTTGACAGTTCTACTTAATTCAACAGATTTTTTTGTGTACAACCAATTCCAATTATATTTAGATATTTTAATAAGAATTTTTGGCTGGAGCAAATTATGAGGTTTGGATCTAGTTAAATTATTCATTTTTGTATTTATAAAAGACATCGTTAACGTTAGTTTTGATTTTTATCTACTACTAATCTCAGCTCAATTGATGGGTAATCGTTGAAACAAGTTGAATATTATTAACCTTCAAGGTTAGTTTTTTTAAATGGCATTTACTCTCAAAAGAACATTTGGGTCTTAATATTTAAAAAATCAGCGTTTAAATTATGAACCTTAAATTATTTCGGAATATGTCATTAATAATATTCCCATAATTAAGAAAAAAAAATTTGGGCAAGGATTTCGTCAATGATTTCCATTCACTTCTGGCAACATTTTTTTTTTTAGATCAGGGTAGACAGGAAAGGCCTACACTACATTCACTAATGCTTTCTAATGACTATTGTGGATTTATGGATATTTAAACACTATAATTGATATCAATAAAATATATAAATAATTTCCTTCGTAATAAAGCAATAGATTTCAGTACGTATCCTCTTTCAATAGTTGAAGACATTATTTTGATCAGATCAATCAAGCATACGTAACAATTAAGATTCAGTAGGTCAGTGCCGTGCAGTCGAACTGAAGTAAGCAAGGTCAAATTCCCCAGAAACAGGTTCTTTTTCCTCAAAGCAACTTGCATTTCAGTGGGATGGTATAGCATTTCTTCATCCATATATCCGTTTAGTTATTTTCAGATCTTTATTTGGATTTTTATATTTGTGGAAATGACGAAATTCCATAGTGTAAAACCATGAGTTAAAAATAAAAACCCACGAAATTTTGAAGGTAAAATTAATTTTTGGAAAGTCGATCGAGGTTTCGATTTAGTAACGAACACCTTGATCTCTATAATAAATATAGGCTTTTAAGTGACCGGTTTTTTTTTTTTTTTTCCATTTATTATGATGCAAAATATACAAAAATGTTTGTTCGTATTTTTGAGTGTTCATAATATGATTCTATAGGCCCTCTAGTATAGAAAGACTAAAAAATATTTGTTATTCCATCTCGCCAAGAATTTCTAGGTATGATTCCAATTTCGTCAATCATTAAAAAAAAGGCGGAAATTACGTTACTATGGAATAGTGAAAAAATCTAGTATTGCTTGAATTCTCTGTTCTTTTTTTTTTACAACTTATTTATGCGACCCAATCGTTACTAATTAATATTGGTATTAAATTAGTTAGTAAAATAAGAAAAAAAAAACTTATGTATTTCAGACTGAAAATGATCTCAATTAAAGCGGTTTAATTAATAAAAGTTTGTAGGATTGAACAGGGGCAGGTACGGGAGGAGGGATGCTTTCGGGCTGAAGTTCTCCCCAAAAATGGAAAAATATAACGGTCTTATGAAAAAAAAATCTCTAAAAGTATTATTGTTCGTGTAATTACGTTTTAATAGAACTTCAAGAATCACTTAAACACCATTTGATATAGTTAGTTAGTTTCTTTCTTTTTTTCTCAAAGTAATTATCATTATATATAAAATTATAAAATAAAGCTTTTGGGGTGAAGCCCCCTAAAATTAAATCCTGAATCCGTTACTGGAATGAAAGAAAACCTTCTGCATATTTTTTCTCAAGAAAGGACTTAACGAATAATCATTATCAACTATATGGCTGAAAATTGTTACTCAGGAGTTAATGATATGAATTATTTATGTTATATGAAATAAATAAAACATATTTATTTGTTCTAAATACTTTATTAATTAAATGTAAACATTAACATTCATATTAAATGTTGTTCAAAGTAGTTTCCTTGAGCATTCATTAAGACAGGCTCGGCATCTTTCTCCAACAGCAGCAGTGGCGGAACGGCACTAGATATGTGTTATTGTTTCACAATATTCAATTATCCTTCTTCGTAAGGAATTAAGGTCATTGACCGGACTTGCATAGACTTTTTGAATGTCCCCTAAACAAAAAAATCCAGTGGTGTCAGGTCTGGAGAGCGTGCAAGCCAAGCCACTGATCCTGGTCGTGGACCCACCTTCACTTTGAACAACATTTAATATGAATTTAATGTTTACGTTTAATTAATAGAGTAGTTGGAACAAATAAATAAGTTAGGATTTTTTTTCTTGTTTTGAGGAGGTCCTTAATTAATATTTTCA